TTTTAGAAAATGAGGAGAAGTGAAGCATGAAATTAGAGCATGGAAGCAAACGTGAGGACAGTGACACTGGTGGGCTGGGTCAGCAGTCACACAGTAACCAGCATTGTGGGAACGTCGGTTTAGCTGGAATTCAGTCTCATCTGGGGATACTTGTCTTGGTGTATATGGAATAAAAGAAGGCTGAATGCTTTGTAGGGCTTGTATGTTAGCCACGTAAGGTGGCATGTGCATGGCACAAAGCCCAGGACGTGATTGAACAGGGGGTGTTTCCGTGCAGAGGACTTGGGGCTGGAGATTCGGCTCAGCGGTAGAATGCTTGCCTAGCAAGCTGGAAGCCCTGGGTTTGGTCCTCAGCACCAAAAACAAACAAAAAACCCCCTCCCCTAAAACAAACAAACAAACAAACAAACAAATAAACAAACCTCCCCTACTGCAGAGGACTGCAGTTTAAGGATGCGTTTATAGCCCTTTCATAGTTCATACAGACAACTTGCATACATGTGCTTTCCTTTGTGTGTGTTTTTTAGATGTACTAAGCTCCGGTGCATGTCTCTGAAGAAAGATGGCCTGTTGGACGTTCTGCGTGGCTTTGCTGCACTGTGGTAAGTTGTTCGCTGTTTGTATGTGACGCAGAGCTTTAGCTCTCCGAGATGCTCTTTCCTTACCATCAACAGTCTTTTCCATCTTAGGATTTTATGCATGCTTGTGATGCAAAATGAAACCAACAAAACTAGACATGTAAAAATGAAAGCATTGCCCCATCTCCTAAAAATGACTCAATAGTGTAGCTTCCCAGAACTTTAACACGCGCACGCACACACACACACACACACACACACACACACACACACACACGAATACCTGCCAGCATGGTTGCACTGCGTTTTGCACCACACTTGCAAGCATTTTGTTTTTCATGCTGCTTTTTCTGTTTAGGTTTTCAATTTCTTTTCTTTCTTCTTTTCTTCCTCATCTTCTTTCTTCTTCCTTCCTCCTCTTCCTCCCTCTTTCCTCCCCCTCTCCCTCCCCCCCTCCTCCTCTTCCTCCTCTTTCTTCTTTTTTTTAAAAGAGAGACTGCCTTTACTCGCAATTTCTTTCTGTTTTATGTATTTATTACAGGGCCTACAGGGTCTCACTACACAGATCCGACTCCTAGTGATCCTCCTGTTCTTAGCCTCCCAAGCACTGGGATTATAGGCGTGCACAACTACGCCCAGTCTCAATCCCTGCCTCAGCGCACCCCAGGGGCAGGAATGGCACGGCAGGCTGGGGATCGATAGGTTTTCCATTTCTTGACAATTTTGCTTATCAGCATTTATCGATGAACTTATTCATGCAATCATCAAATGCAATATATCATGTCAATGTACCTGATCATTTCTTGAGAAATAGGCATTCCTTTCCTTCAACAGATAATGCTGCAGTGAGAATCCCCATGTCCATATATAACTGCCTGGATTCTTCTATACCTCGAAGATAGTTTAGCCCCTAAGGAGGAATCTCTTTCCTGGGTAATGTGCACATTTTAAAATTTGACCCTGGAACGTCTCCCCAGCTTGCATCCTTGTTCTAATAGTCATGTGTGAGGTCCTGCACCTT